TTAGAGAAAAAAAAATGCACACTTTTTTTTTTTTTTTTTTTTTTACTTTGGGGTATTTGTAAAGTGCCTTGAAAAAGTATTCATACCCCTTGAAATTGTCCACATTTTGTCCTGTTACAACCAAAAACGTAAATGTTTTTATTGGGATTTTATGTGATAGACCAACACAAAGTGGCACATACAGTTAGGTCTGTATATATTTGAACACAGGCACAATTTCCATACTTTTGGCTCTGTATGCCACCAGAATGAATTAAAACGAACCAATCCAAATGAATTTGAAGTGCAGACTTTCAGCTTTAATTCAAGGGGTTGAACATAAATATCAAGTAAAAATTTTAGGACAGTCCCTCCATTTTCAGGGGCTCAAATGGAATTGGACAAATGAATATAATCATAAATAAAATGTTCATTTGTAATATTTTGTTGAGAATCCTTTACTGGCAATGACTGCCTTAAGTCCGGAACCCATGGACATTACCAAAGACTGGGTTTCCTCCTTTCTGATGCTTTGCCAGGCTCTAAGTGCAGCTTACTCTTAAGAGCTGTAATTCCTAAATCCTTGCTCCAATTTGGATGTACATACCCTCAAACTAAACCTGAGAGTGCGCACTTTCAGCCCATATCCATTATATAACTATAGCTTCAATATGTTTTGGTAAATACCTGAACAAAACTAAAATTGTGCCTGTGTCCAAATATATATGGTCCTAACTGTAATTGTGAAGTGGAAGAAAAATGATAAATGATTTTCAAAATTCTTTACAAATAAATATCTGAAAAGTGTGGCGTGCATTTGTATTCAGCCCCTTTACTTTGATACCCCTAACTAAAATCTAGTGGAGCCAATTGCCTTGGTAACTCTGGAGGAGCTGCAGAAATCCCCAATTCAGGTGGGAGAATCTGTCCACAGGACAACTATTAGTTGTGAACTCCACAAATCTGGCCTTTATGGAAGAGTGGCAAGAAGAAAGCCATTGTTGAATGAAAGCCATAAGAAGTCTCATTTGCAGTTTGTGAGAAGCCATGTGGGGGACACAGCAAACATGTAGAAGAAGGTGGTCTGGTCAGGTGAGATCAAAAATGAACTTTTTAGCTTAACCTCTTCCATACCGGGCACTTTTACCCCCTTCCTGTCCAGGCCATCTTTCAGGTTTCAGCGCTCTCACACTTTGAATGACAATTGCGCGGTCATACAACACTGTACCCAAACTAAAATTTTATCATTTTCTTCACACAACTAGAGCTTTCTTTTGGTGGTATTTAATCACCACTGGGGTTTTTATTTTTTGCTAAATTAACAAGAAAAGACCAAAATTTTGAAAATAATCTCACGTTTTACTTTGTTATAAAAGTTTACAAATAAATAATTGTTCTTCATAAATTTAGGCCGAGATGTATTCTGCTACATGTCTTTGGTGAAAATAACCCAAATTAGGATGTATTATTTAGTTTGTAGGAAAGTTATAGAGTTCACAAACTATGAGATATATCTGATTATTGATCAATCCTGAAGTACTGACAGCCAATCTAATTTCTTGAGGTGCAAGAATGTCAGAACAGTACAGATATCCCCCAAATGACCCCTTTTTGCAGAGTAGACAGTCCGACGTACTTCATAAGAGGCATGGCGAGTTTTTTGAAGTTGTAATTTTTTTGTCATTTTTCGGAAATGAAGAAATTAAAAAAATGATTTCCATTAATTTTTTTTTTTTTTTACATGCTGTCACCAGTGCAGTACAGCATCATCATATAACTGGCATTGCAGTGATCAGGACACTGACTGGTGACAGTATGAAAACAAAAAAAAAAGATAATTTAATAATTTTTTTTTTTTTTTTTTATTACTTTTTTTTTTTATCTTTTTTTAATTTTTTTTTCAGATTTCACTATGACCAAAGTAGTATAATGTTACCATAGTAACATTGTACTACTTTGGGGAAGTGATCAGTATTTAAATTTTTTTTTTTTTACACAATTTGCTTATAGCAAAGAATTTCTTTGCTATAAGCAAGCATTTACCTGAATGACATCGATTCATTCAGGGTTTTTTTTTGTGCTTAGCTGTGATTTGGCCACAGCTAATCACATGACACAGCTGGGTTGTGATTGGTCCAGCTTGTGCATGTGATCACTGTGACCATTCACAGCTAGACACACTAGTATGCAATGGATGGCATGAAAGGAAGCCATCCATTGTGTACAACTGTCATGTGACCTGCTGTGATTGGTCACAGCAGTTCACATGGTACTGGTAACGGGGCTGGTACACAGACTTGTCATCGGCCGTGTCCGAGGTACACAGCCGGTGACAGATCGTGCCGCTGTTCGGCCCTGTGGGCAGGCGCAATGCGCATGCCTGAAAAGACGCCATATGGTGTCCACCCAGAGGGAAGAGCTGTTCTCCTGGCCGCCATCTGGCTATAGGCCGGGCGGCAACTGGATAACAGCAAACACTATGTGTGGTGGAAAACTCTGCACATCACCCTGAACACACCATCCCCACTGTGAAACATGGTGATGGCAGCATCATGTTGTGAGGATGCTTTTCTTCAGCAGGGACAGGGAAGCTGGTCAGAGTTGATGGGAAGATGGATGGAGCCAAATACAGGGCAATCTTAGAAGAAAACCTGTTAGAGTCTGCAAAAGACTTGAGACCGGGGCGGAGGTTCCCCTTCCAGCAGAACAATGACCCGAAACATCCAGCCAGAGCTACAATGGAATGCTTTAGATCAAAGCATATTCATGTGTTAGAATGGCCCAGTCACAGTCCAGACCTAAATCCAATGGAGGGTGTGTGCAAGACTTGAAAATTGCTGTTCAGATGCTCTCCATCCAATCTGACAGAGCTTGAGCTATTCTGCAAAGAATGGGCAAAAATGTCCCGCTCTAGATGTGCAAAGCTGGTAGAGACATCCCCAAAAAGACTTGCAGCTGGAATTGAAAGGGGGTCCTATAAAGTATTGACTCCGGGGGGCTGAATACAAATACACCCCACACTTTTCACAGATTTATTTGTAAAAATTCTGAAAACCATTTATCATTTTCCTTCCACTTCACAATTATGTGCCACTTTGTGTTGGTCTATCACATAAAATCCCAATAAAATACATTTACATTTTTGGTTGTAACATGACAAAATGTGGCAAATTTTAAAGGGGTATGAATACTTTCAAGGCACTGCAAGTGTTGCGTACTAGACTCCGTTTGTTTGTTAGACTTTTTTCTGTTGTGGGACTGAGCCATAGTAACTCTTAGACCTGAGTGGGCAGAGTATTGTGGAAATAATGATCATCTGTCTTGGCTGACAGAATAGCTGAATAAAAGGTTTCATTTGTATAAAATACTCATTAATTTACAGCCAGGAAGTAAATGACTGACTTAATGTGAGCTTACCTTTTGGCTTCCTACGTAGAGAACAAAGCGGACAACTAATATTCAGAACTGGGGGACCGGGGATGAGCGGCAAAACTGATTACGTTTTACAGGAAATATCATCTCTTGATCTCGTGGGTGACTAGCTCTATTTTGGGGGTTTCATTGAGTTGTACTCGATGAGTAGATTCCTCCTTGTAACTGCTAAAGTGCGTAGTATATCTTTTCGGTATGTTTTTGACGTGTCTTCCTCTACCTCCTAAAGAGGGCCTTGCAGTTGTGGTATCAAAAAATGAACCCAATTTTATGTTAATATCATGGGAAATTAGGGGGCTATTGCCCATGCCTTGTCCGTAGGCAACTTGCATTCTCTGTGGAGAAGTGTATTCTGTAGCTAAGGGTTTGACAAATTTGTTTTGAAACTAGGAGCCAGCTAAAAAGATTAGTAGCCATTTTTTTTTTTTTAGTGTAGCGAGGTTTGTCAGCGCCTGGGGCAAGGCATCTTCTGGGCGACAACCTTCATGTGATGCGATTTTGGTGCACGACAGTCACGGCAAAACCACACCACATTTTAAGTGCCATTGAAAATAATGGCACCTGAACCTGCATTTTGCAATCACAGCGATTCTACTGCAATCCCAAAACGCTCAGGTGTGAATGGAGCCCCCTCTGGTTTACACATTTGAGATTCTGGATGTGTTTTCAAACTCACAGATTCACATGACAGGTTAGATATTGTGTGTTCCTATTGAGATGTGATTCACACCAGGGGCGGACTGATCATTTGGATACTCGGGTACTGCCCAATGGCCCGGGGTCAGTAGGGGGCCCATGAGATGCCCCTGGTACCTTTTCCATAGGCTTTTTTGAGTTTTGGCAAGGACACAAGGGCCCCATGATCCCCTATTGCCCGGGGGGGCCCATGAGTTGTCAGTCCACCCCTGGTTCACACAGATGTGATCCACTTGCATTGTGTTTTGAGTGCCATTACGAAAAGGGTTCTATTTGAGTTTGTAGCAGTGCACTCCAGACCCACAAGTGATAGAATAGAATGGCATGCAAAAAGAAGTGTTCACATAGTTCACATTGTAAAGCAAACTTTTGGCACTATATAAATCCTGTATAATAATAGGATTGCTATTAACAGGAGTTTTTGCATTGGAGTCAATGGGAGGCATTTTTGCATCGAAGTCAGTGGGACGTGATTTTGCATCAAAGTCAATGGAACACAATTTTTCATTGAAGTCAATGGGAGGCAGTGTGTGACCCTAGGCACCAGAACACAATTTCTAGTCACCATGTCAACCCGGTGCCTGGGGTTAGTCGAGCCCTTCTGTAGTTGTTGTCAGTGTCAATTCCCACTGACCACCAATGTAAGGAGTATTTTTCCACTGACCACCAATGTAAGGAGCATTCTTCCCACTGACCACCAATGTAAGGAGTATTTTTCCACTGACCACCAATGTAAGGAGCATTCTTCCCACTGATCACCAATGTAAGGAACATTCTTCCCACTGACCACCAATGTAAGGGACATTCTTCCCACTGATCACCAATGTAAGCATTCTTCCCACTGACCACCAATGTAAGGAGCATTCTTCCCACTGATCACCAATGTAAGCATTCTTCCCACTGACCACCAATGTAAGGGGCATTCTTCCCACTGATCACCAATGTAAGGGGCATTCTTCCCACTGATCACCAATGTAAGGGGCATTCTTCCCACTGATCACCAATGTAAGGAACATTCTTCCCACTGATCACCAATGTAAGGAGCATTCTTCCCACTGACCACCAATGTAAGGAACATTCTTCCCACTGATCACCAATGTAAGGAGCATTCTTCTCACTGACCACCAATGTAAGGAGCATTCTTCCCACTGACCACCAATGTAAGGGACATTCTTCCCACTGATCACCAATGTAAGGAGCATTCTTCCCACTGACCACCAATGTAAGGAACATTCTTCCCACTGATCACCAATGTAAGGAACATTCTTCCCACTGATCACCAATGTAAGGAGCATTCTTCCCACTGATCACCAATGTAAGGAGCATTCTTCCCACTGATCACTAATGTAAGGAGCATTCTTCCCACTGATCACCAATGTAAGGAGCATTCTTTCCACTGACCACCAATGTAAGGAGCATTCTTCCCACTGACCACCAATGTAAGGAGCATTCTTCCCACTGATCACCAATGTAAGGGACATTCTTCCCACTGATCACTAATGTACGGAGCATTCTTTCCACTGACCACCAATGTAAGGAGCATTCTTTCCACTGACCACCAATGTAAGGAACATACCTCTGCTTGACCATTAAACTAATGTTTAATGAGCTGCAGATGCAGTAATATTCAGAAGGGGTTCCCTGAGACCAGAACATTATTTCAAGGGTTCCTCTGTATTAGAAAGGTTAATCCAAGTAGTAATGACTTATTTTGTAGTGCTGTGCAGTATACACTGCCTGTCCATCTGTATACTGAGCTTTGTCTATGAAGATACATGTGAGGAGAAAAACCGAGTGTGGGTGGGGAACATGTGCTCTGAGTTCCACCACAGGTGGGCGGCCTGCTGGGTTGTGGAGCTTATCTCCTTCACTACAGCACATGAAATACCACCAAACATCATCACACTCTACTTCTTCACCATCCTAACTTGCTTTCAAATTTTGTTTTTCACATTGGCCTTGAATATGCAATTTGCATACACAATTTTGCACATTTATCAAGATTAGTTATATGATTTAAAAAAAAAAAATTCTTCAATGGATATTGCAACAATATTTGAATCATGTACAAAGTTTGTTTTGTGTTTTTTTGCACTTATATGCATATTTGATGCATATTTGATGGGTATTTGTAAGATTCCATATTTATTATTTAGGGCTTTTTCACATTTTTCAGGCGGACCCGATCGGAACCTCCATTCTCCTCTATGGAGCGGCAGGTATAAACAGAGATGTGTCCGTTTTATATCCGCTGACATCCGATCTGATCCAATCCTCCAAAAAGGGACGAATGGGGATCCCCCGTTGAGCAAGTGGATCCGCTAAATAGGTCCGCTAAATGGGATCCAATTCTGTCCGTCGGTTCGTGTCGGATGAAAAACAGACGGGCGGTCTGTTTTCATCCGACCGCCCATTGAGGAGACCGAGCAGGTCTATGTCTGCTCTGCAGCAGCGGAGCAGACACAGACCTGCCATCTGCTTGCTTAGCGGGGATCAGCGGAGAGATCCCCCGCTGAGCAAGTGGATCCGCTAAATGGGTCCACTTCATGTGAAAGGACCCTAAAGGGATAGCCCAACAGACATTGAGGGTTTTTTATTAGTATTCAGTATGTGTTTATGGGTAGTCTTACTGCTGTCTGTTTTCTCTACATTTTGATTTCTGAGTTATAACAAATTTTATGTAATAGTTATTCAGTACCGTTAAAAAAGAAATCGCCTTCAACTAGTGATCTAGCTTTATTCTACTGTGCATGAAGCATCCTCAGTCCTCACGCACACGGGACGTTTTTACAGCGGCCACTTTTGGCTTTTGATGTTTTTTCCTACAGCCAGTAAACCCCCCAGCATGTTATCCTATGTGTCCATCCCCGGCATGTTCTCCTATGTGTCCATCCCCGGCGTGTTATCCTGTGTGTCCATCCCCGGCATGTTCTCCTAGGTGTCCATCCCCAGCATGTTCTCCTATGTGTCCATCCCCGGCATGTTATCCTGTGTGTCCATCCCCGGCATGTTCTCCTATGTGTCCATCCCCAGCATGTTCTCCTAGGTGTCCATCCCCAGCATGTTCTCCTATGTGTCCATCCCCAGCATGTTCTCCTGTGTGTCCATCCCCGGCATGTTCTCCTGTGTGTCCATCCCCGGCATGTTCTCCTATGTGTCCATCCCCAGCATGTTCTCCTAGGTGTCCATCCCCAGCATGTTCTCCTATGTGTCCATCCCCAGCATGTTCTCCTGTGTGTCCATCCCCAGCATGTTCTCCTGTGTGTCCATCCCCGGCATGTTCTCCTATGAGTCGATCCCCGGCATGTTCTCCTATGTGTCCATCCCCGGCATGTTCTCCTATGTGTCCATCCCCGGCATGTTCTCCTATGTGTCCATCCCCGGCATGTTCTCCTATGTGTCCATCCCCAGCATGTTCTCCTGTGTGTCCATCCCCAGCATGTTCTCCTATGTGTCCATCCCCAGCATGTTCTCCTATGTGTCCATCCCCAGCATGTTCTCCTATGTGTCCATCCCCAGCATGTTCTCCTATGTGTCCATCCCCACCATGTTATCCTATGTGTCCATCCCTAGCATGTTCTCCTATGTGTCCATCCCCACCATGTTATCCTATGTGTCCATCCCCAGCATGTTCTCCTATGTGTCCATCCCCAGCATGTTCTCCTATGTGTCCATCCCCAGCATGTTCTCCTATGTGTCCATCCCCAGCATGTTATCCTATGTGTCCATCCCTAGCATGTTCTCCTATGTGTCCATCCCCTGCATGTTCTCCTATGTGTCCATCCCCAGCATGTTCTCCTATGTGTCCATCCCCAGCATGTTCTCCTATGTGTCCATCCCCAGCATGTTATCCTATGTGTCCATCCCCAGCATGTTCTCCTATGTGTCCATCCCCAGCATGTTCTCCTATGTGTCCATCCCCAGCATGTTCTCCTAGGTGTCCATGCACACATAAACTGGAATCAACGTTTTTTGGCAGGGACGTTTTTTGGCTGAAAAAAAAAAAAAACCCGGGACTAGTGGGTTTCAAGAGGAATTTTTTAGCTGTAAAACCGCTCTAATGCTGAAAAACGCAGTAAAACGCAGCAAGCCGCCGTTTATGGACTTTTTTTTTACCAAAAACACAATTTTTTGGGTTAAAAAAAAAAAACCGCAAACGCGGAAAAACTCCACTGAACGCTGATGTAAAAGCGCTAAAAATAGCTGAAAAACTCACATTTTTAACGTGACTTTACACAGCTAACGTTATCAGTGTTATCAAAATACCCCGTGTGCATGGAGACTAAATTTATAGTGTTATAGCAGTAGTGCTCATATACAATATGAGAACGCGTTTCGTCATCGGACTTATAAAGGGATCCCTTATGAATAAGTCTGATGACGAAACGCGTCAAGGGAAGTGATGTCAAATGCACAGCGGAACCGGAAGTGATCCAGCGGCCATCTTGGAATCTGGCAATTCCTCTCAGAATTGCATGTGGAGGACACCAGGGAACTCCTAGAGGTCTGGACATCTTCTAAAGGTGTTTTTAAAGAGGAATTATGATGTAAGCAGATTTAATAAAGAATATCTAATTGTGTATGCAGGTTTACACTATAATTTATTCCATACATGGTGGGCACCGGTGGAATTTGGAGATTGATGGTGGAACATGAAAGCTGCTGTATTCGGATGACATCTTGAGCATATCTATGAGGCTGTGATGATCTTTTTGGTGGAAGCAGATTATGTGAAAATTATCCTGTCCGGGTGGTTATAAGGCGTATTATTTGTCATTTTTGGTTTTCTTTTTGGCCACAGGAGCCATTGGGAAGGCATAATACGAAGATTGTGGTTTGGATTTGACTCACAGTGACTATATAAGTTTTTTGGGAGGACTTTATTACAATTTTGAACATTATTTGTGTGATTTATTATATTTTTGCATTTTTGGGGATATATTATTTTGGTAGAATTAGCATATTTATATTCAGTTTTTACACTTTTCGGGAAAGTGTATACTTTATGCTATAAAAGGTTTTTTGTTCTATTTAGTTATTTGAGGGGATACCATAAATTTACATCTACCATATACAATATTTGTTCAGTGAAAAAATATACATAGGGGTTGATTATTTGCTACTTTCACACTGCAGAAACACATATGTGTTTTGACACTTTTTACCTAGTTTGCAGTGCATTTTATAAAAGACATGTAACCCAAAAACCACACCAAAAACACAACGCAGGTGCTTTTTTGATGCATTTCTGCCATGTTTTCCATTGATTTCAATGGGTAGGTTCATTTTTGGTGCGTTTTTTTTTTTTTTTTCTACCGCACTAAACCTGCACCAAACATGCGCTGGACCCAAAACGAATCAGTGTGAAGAATTCCATAGGAATACATGTTTTTCTTCCTCTCTTTTACTCTAGGTTCACATCTATGCGGGTGGTGCCGCTGTGTATCTGCACGAAAATCACCTGCACAGAGAAATGCTGACCCGCGGGCGGGTCTAGTTCTAATGGCACGCCGCCCACACTGGAAAACGCAATCGTACTGGGAACCAAGGTTCCTGTGCGGGAGGTGTTTTCCAAAGAAGTGCAGGGACTTCTTCCCTGCGTGTCAAGGGCACGGGAGTCCATTCAAATGAATGAGCTCCCATGCTTGTGCAAAACGTGGCCCGCACGTATGTGAATCGGAGGTTAACACAGATCTCTTCTTTCCTGCTGCTGGCACCACTCTGGAGACGCTAGCCGGGATAAGAGGTGGAGTGCAGTTGGTATCACTCTGCATGGTACAGGAGCCGGCACTGCAGAGGAGACATCGGCTTATGCGGCTCTTGCTCCCTACTACAGCTCCAACTTTACAAGTAGTCCCTCTGCATTGCACTCTGCTTGATGCTCTGGGATGGCGTGTCAGCAAGCCCAGTCCGCGATCTACCTGTCACCTGGCCGCGTTCTACTGGTAGATCACGAAGTGCCCCCAGTTTATACAAAAGCAGCCGGTCATGTTTGTTTGTCACAAGTATGCTTCTTTGTAGTATTAAGCGTTGTGGTTATGTTTACAGTAGTAGTATTGTTCCACGGCAGCCCACTTAAAGTAGTTCTATACAAGGAGTTGGTGATGATTGAGTTTTTCTACTGTGGGCTCAGATTATTATTATTATCATCATCATCATCGTCATTTTTGTGGTTTGGAGGACAGTTTATTGTTCTGTTTGTGTTACAGAATACAACTGGTTATTACCATTTCTAAGGAATAATACTAGAGACTGCCTAAGGGCAGAGGTCTCCAAACCCCCGGGCCTCATCCTGCCTGCTACAAGATTTCATCCAGCCTGCAGCTAGGGCCAGTGACGTATCCTCCATGTGCACAGATTGAGAATTAAAGTCAGGGGAGACTGCCTATGTTCTTTGCTTCACCCCCCCCAACCTACACCTGGACTCTGTAAGGAAGAACTCTGACGG